CTGCAGCCGGGGGGGCGCGGGGGCTCTCCCGCAGCGAGGGAAGAGGAGGAGGAGAGGCGGCCTGCTCCCTTCTTCTGCTTTACCTTTCTCCCTGCCTTACCTTCCGCGCCCTTCTCCATTTTCTTCTCTTTTCTCACGATGCTGCTCTATGCCCTCCTCTCCACGAGGATCGGTTTCAAAACAACATCCAGACAGAACAAAGCTGGGCCGGAAGAAAGTGAAACTCGTACCCGAGTTTGAGTTTGTCTCCCGGGAGATGAAGGCTGGATTTGCCCGTGCCCCTTGGCAATCCTCCGCAGCCGCTGGAGCTTTGCGTGCTCTTTTTGAAACACAGCGATTGTTGCTAGAAAGGAGGAAACGGCGCGTTTGCTGTGGGTGTCCCCGAGGTTCTTGGCGCAGTTGGTTCCGTTAGGATGGTAATTGCTGCCACTTCGGGTGGAATGTTATTACATTAATTGTTATCTACCGTGTTCTTATAAGACACTGCAGAGTAGGGGGGAGGAAACAGTGCTTTTTCTCCGTGGTAATTTTATTGTAGCAAAACTCCTTAAGGACTAAATATGTGCAGCACCTTAGTGAAATAACTTTTCATAGCGAATTGAAATAGTTAAAAAGTGTATATTGCAGAGGTTCTTACTTATTGCTTGGGTATTCCTAGTAAACTAGATTTCTCCGTTACTGTTTTGCAGTTCATTGTGTCCCTTATATGTTTATCAACTGCAAAACGTTTATGGAGCGTATTATTATAGAATGCGTAAGTGAGAGCATTTTTGTGTTGTTAATTATGGTAGAATTTTTATGGAAGTCCTTGGAAGGTCTAGTTGTGTAAAATGCAAGCGTGAGTTTTCAGACTTGGTGCCTGGTCAGCTTACACTAAATTCGCTCAGCTCGATGGAATGAATTGGGAACTTTATTGTGGTCAAAAGTGTAAATAGCATTTTTTTTTAAGTTAATTTTCTTTTTTCTGGTACTTTATTTTACTGTAAGGTCTGGGAAATCTGTTATTTCCAGGGTTTTTTTTAAATAATGTGGGTCCTATTGAAGCTTTCACCATAAGCTTGCGATTAGCTGGTACATTCTTTTCAAGGATGGTTTCATTGTGAGATCTCGATGTTGGTTGTTGCAGTTGCCTTCTGCCATCATTGACTAATACATACTGCCGATTCTTTCCCAACCAATGAGAAAATGAATAGTAGTAACTTTGACATACCACATAAATATGATGATATGTCATTCCTCATACTGGTTATTGTCTCCAAGTGACACAAAAATACATGTAGAGAAGCTGATGTGGTTAAGAAAAACCTCTCTGAGGCAGTAGTTGTTCCAAGTATAGTTAACGGTTCTGTTCAACAGTGGAGTGCTAAGGTCTCTTAAAGCCACCTCTATGAAAAAGCTATCCTAAGGGAATGGTTGCTTGCTCAAGTTCTGTTCTATTTGATGTGGTTGTAAGTATCGATTATTCTATGGAAATGAATTTGTGTGACTGGCTTATTCTCATACTGCTTATTTGGATGTCTCAGTTGACAATGCTTTTGCAACATGCAAACATCAGGAGTTAGGTGAGGTACTTCAATAACAGTAACTCTGGGATCCTTCTTTTCACTTTCTGCCCACCTCTGCTAGTGCATTCTGCATTGAGTCGACTAATATGTGTCACTTCTCAGTTTACCCTTTGCTATGGAGTTATGCTGAACGCTGGTTTCAAAATGCCTGGCTGTATCTTAGGCATTTTGAGTCTAGAGTGTTTCAGGAAAGCCTAGTGTGTTGCTTAATGAACTGCTCAAACACCCTTTTTTCCAAAGCTATATGCATCCTCTACCAACCGCTTCCAGAAAGAGCGGTGGTCATATGGATTGTAGGTTTCAAATTTTTTTTTTAATTGATGAATGTTCTGAAACACCTTAAATAGTGGGAAAAAACCCCATATATTTGTGATATTCTAGGTCTGAAGACTTGCGCCGTGAATTTGGTCGTTATGGGCCTATAGTTGATGTATACGTTCCACTTGACTTCTACACTCGTCGTCCCAGAGGATTTGCTTATGTTCAATATCCTTTCTTCAGATGGCTGATTAGTGAGGGGTGTTGAAGTTTGAAATTCAAGTTTGTGTAAGAGGTAACACATCTAAATGAAAAAGCAGTTTACTTTTGTGTTGTATCTAATAAGTGTCTTACATTGTGGTGTTTCATTATTTTTGAAAATTAACTTCTCTCAATTGTTCTTTGCCTTTTTGCAAAACTTAAGTCCAGTAATATAAAAGCTTGCTGTGTCACTGGAATTAATACTATATGATTTAAATGAAAATTTGTCACTGACACAAAGTTGTCTAGCACATTATTATTATCAGTGGTATGTAAGTAATCTTGTGCTTAGCAAACTGTGGCTGGTATTCATTGTTAATTATAAAATGGAAACTGGAATCACTTGATCAAAATCAGATTGTATAAAAAAATGAGGTGAACTTCTTTCTTTAATACTGTCCCCTAATTTACTGTCCTCTGTTGTTGCCTCAGAATGTAAAGCTGTACAGTAATGGCGACCCCAAAGAGAAAGCATGAAAGAACCTTTAGAGTAGAGTTCAACAATTAAGGCAAGTAGACAAGCCAAAGACCTCTTAAGGATCAGGCTTGAAGAGAAGGGAGAGTTTGGGAAAAGAAAAGATAAAGAAAAGCTGGAAGAAGGACAAGCCATAATGGGAGACAAAGCTTCGCTTTATCCACAAAAGGGGGAAAAGGTTGTTTTTCAAAGTAAAAGATAAAGCCATCTGTCATTTTTGGCCAAGCATCTCATGACAAGTCCTTCTGACAAGCACTTAAAGAGTTAAAGGTCAAGATGAAGTTGAATGGTGGCCAAGATTAAAGGAGTCATACCTGATGTATCCTACAGAATAACAGTTTTTCTTCTGTTTGTCATGTAAGCAGTAATTTGATGAATGATTCTGGTTTAGTCCATTGACAAAACCTGTAATATTTCTCTTGTGAGTGCTATTGTAACTGTGGTCTTGAATGAAAGTGAATTAGTTCCTGGTTTTTCAAGATACATACCTATAGGACAATAGTTTAGTTTCTGCATAAATGATGCTGCTGATGACCTGAGTTGCCACAGGAGAAAGGCAGTTCATTCCTTCAGGTCACCTAGCTAGAAGAAGGTGTGTGAACTACATTAGTGGTCAGTCTTGCTGATCAGAATTAGTAATGTCTGTTTCTGAACATCTGACCTGACTGTCAGTGTAGGGGTTTTGGGGCATGCTTTTATCTCAGACTGCTGAAGGTCTGTCTACATGTCCATGGCATTACATAAGCTAAACTTAAAATCAGTTGGGGGAAAAAAGAAAAGCTTTATCCCAATTCTAAAATTAATAGACACAGGTTAATTTTTACTGCTGGTGTGCCTAACATAATTTAAGAACTAGGGTTTAATTTTAGTGAAGTCAGTGTAGTGGAGAGAACTGAATGACCATTAACATATGTATTTTGAAAAGGATACTACTTTGGGTTTTTTTCCTTGCATAAGTACAAGTGGGAGAAGAAAAAGTTAGTATTGTATAGCAACTGCTTGCTGATGGATAAGTTCATGGTCATATTATCAGATTTTAATTTTATTCTAGTTCTCAGATAGCTGGTGGTTAATTAAAAAATTAGTAGTGTGTACTGTAGCATTACAAAAAAAAAATCCAAATCAAAACTACAATTAGAAAATAACTTCCTTTTTTTTTCTTATTTAAAATACCCAATGTGTAAACTGTTCAAATTCCCAAGTACCTTAACACTCACCACATTTGAAGATGTCCGTGATGCAGAAGATGCTCTCCATAATTTGGATAGAAAGTGGATTTGTGGTCGGCAAATAGAAATCCAGTTTGCACAGGGGGATCGTAAGAGTAAGTATCTTGTGTGTATTTCATTCCAAATGTGATTTTAGCCGTAACATTCCGCGCCAGGCAACAGTAGGTGCTTTACCAATTTTTGTGATATGTTCGTACTTGTACATAAATAGTATGTGGATGTTTTGCTTCTTATCCTGTAACTATTATGACTCAATTTAAACCAAATAACTAAGTATAGCAGTCACCACAGTCTGATTCTTGCTGCTAGCTGAGAATTCTTAAGAGCTTTCACTGCAGCTCTACAAGCTTTCTTTGCTGAAACCCACTGTTGAAAATTCTTGCTGTCAAAATGAGTAGCCCTGTTTTAACTTATTGCGATGTTTATGTTGCATTGAAGCGTGTTAGTGATTCTGTGTTGACATTTCCCAGTACAGCCTTATTTCCAGGATTGAGGTAATGTCTTCATTTTCATTTGGCTTCAAGATAAAAGTCAATTTTGGTGTATCTCAGTTCAGCTTGGAACAGAAGTCATCTTTTCTGAACAGATAATTGTAAAGAGAACAACATCTTTTCCAACTGTTACTCGTATACATATTATTAATAGATAGATGATATTAAATAAAGCATGCTGTTGGTAAACATAACACATACTTGTTGATCTGAAACAGGACCATGATACTCAGTGCAGCTTAGGAGTAAAAGCACCTTAAAAGATCTTTCAGTTAAAGCTATCAAAGAAGCAGCCAAACTGTCCAGATTTCCCTCAAATGCACACATTAAACTTTTATTGAAACCAATGGAAACTACATGCTCTGCAGGACAAGCTTCTGTCCTGTTTATAAACACTGGAATTTCTTTCAGTTTCTGAAGAAAAATTAACTGATTCTACCTTAAGTGTTGTGAACAGCAGCACTTAAAACATAAACTGTGGCCCTTTAGAACAGACAGTGTTCATTACTGCATGTGTTTAAAATACTTTGAGCATAGATTCGGGGTCTGAACGAGATTGGGATTTAATACAACAGAAAGATAGTTGTACTGCTTAGGGAAAATACAACAGGAGACTAACAAGTTCATTCTTAATTATTTTAATGATTAAGCTGCAGCGTGAATGTGCATCGTTACTGGTGGGGGGTACTTTAAGAATGGAACTCCTTTGTGTGGCATCCACTGCTGCTTCTGCATAATCTGTCTTTCAGTTATTAAAGGAGGCTGTGGATTGGGTGTAATGTGTGGTGCTGTGTAGTCAAGAGAATGGATGTTTAATTCCCTGTTAGCTTTCACTTTTTGGGTGAATTCAGGAACATTAGAATGTTTTGGTCATGGGTTTGGCCTGTTGTACCAGTTTACAGGTGGCCTGAAATCGCCTTAGTCCTCTCTTACTGTTTTGTTTAAGAGGAATTTTTCCCTGGATTTCTAATGCCCACCAGGCTGCACTGATTTTTGTCCAGTTGCTAAAGCAGCCAAAAGCTAATGGCATACAGCACCCTCTCATCTGTCCTTTCCATAAACACGCCTGCGAGAATAGTGAATTAGTCTTTCTGCTAAATACGAAAGGTATGGATTAGTAGTGTCACTGAAGGGAAAGTAGGGTATCCTTTTTTAACTTAAAATGTTAAATATTTTGTTTTTTACAGCACCAAATCAAATGAAAGCCAAGGAAGGGAGAAACCTATACAGTTCTTCTCGTTACGATGACTATGACAGATATAGGCGATCTAGAAGTCGGAGTTACGAAAGGCGACGGTCTAGAAGTCGTTCTTTTGATTACAGCTATAGAAGATCATATAGTCCCAGAAAGTAAGTGTAGTGTGTGTTTGGCTTCAACTGCACAGCAGTCTGTTGGAGGAGAAACCCCACACTGACTGTTTGTTAAAATTTTGAATAATCTTTTTCTAGCCTCACTTTGTAATTATTTGTGGGGGTTAAGTATCTTGCATGCTACACCAAATCAGAAATATTGAACTAAATGATTCTGTGCTTCATTGAAAAATTAACTAAAGGCACATGCACGGCTTGAAAAATGATTTGTTAAGCATTTCTGCGCATACGTAGGTATCTGTCACTGTTTACTTTTTCTGATGTACCTTTTTAGCAGTAGACCTACTGGAAGACCTCGTCGTAGCAGAAGCCATTCGGACAATGATAGGTAAAATACTTTTTACACCCTTTAAATTGAAACCTAGATGACTGTGTTCCTTTAACTGTAGGTTTTAAAAAAGTTTCTCCTGCAAAAAATGGTAAACAATTTTTAATGTACTAGATGTCTAAGAATAGTGTTTTTACATTCAAATCTCCTCTCTCCCCTTTATTCTGCTAGGTTCAAACACCGCAATCGATCTTTTTCAAGATCTAAGTCCAATTCAAGATCACGATCCAAGTCACAGCCCAAGAAAGAAATGAAGGCTAAATCACGGTCTAGGTCTGCATCTCACACCAAATCTAGAGGCACCTCTAAAACAGATTCTAAAACACACTATAAGTCCAGCTCAAGATATGAGAAGGAGTCGAGAAAAAAAGAACCAGCTAGATCCAAATCACAGTCAAGATCACATTCTAGATCTAGGTCAAAATCCAGATCACGGTCATGGACTAGTCCCAAGTCCAGTGGCCACTAACAGCGTATCCATGTTGTTTTTAGGCATGTAAGATTCATTTACACACAGTTCAGTTTACTTAAATTATCAGGAATATGATGTTGCAACAGTGCTAAAAAACTTTTCTTTGTCAGTTTTCCCTGTAGCCGACTGGTTCAAATTAAAACAGTGTTGAGAAGCCACTGAGAGAGAGCGAGAGAGAGAGAGAGATAATGTCCACTTGGTTAAATGTCATGGGCAGCTACTGATTTGGTTGTGGTGTCTCTATGTATATTTTTGTAAAGATCTGCATTTTTAATGGTTAGATATTGGTGATGACTTGATTGATCGTAACTTGCAACATTGTCCTGTTAAAAATGTCATACCCACTGAGAAATTGGTACCGGTTTGTGCCGAACAGTTAAACCAGCTGTTTAACTCGTTCTCTAATGCTAAGCGTTGTGATAAAACAGCAAACTGGACAGCTGTGACAGCAAGCACTGACTGCTGTGAAATGCAGACTGGCAATTTTGTGTTTCCCTTGGTCAGGGCAGGCTTCTGTGTCCTCCATGCCCGCTGCCACCAGTGGGCTGGTCAGTGGAGCTCTGTGGAGAGATGTTCTTGAGATTTCTCCTCACCCCTGCCATCCTGAGATGGTACTAACACTGCATGTACGTGGGGAGTGAGTTGGGCTTGGAAGGTCTTTCAGAGACCGCGCAGTGTCGCGACTTGTCAGGATAGAGGCTTCACTGCTTTTGACCTGGCTGCTAGTACGAAATGTGTGAGGGGGGGAAAAAAACCCACCTTGAAATGGAAAACTGAATTCAGATTTCAGCAAACAGCAGAGCAACTAAATACTAGGTTGTGTGTACATTTTACGCAGTTTTGTATCTATTCTAAATTTTAGTGAGCAGTTAACCATAAAATTGCTTAGTTTTCCTGCTGTTAGATACCAGTAGATTGTTTCGAGTTGTGTGTGTACAGTATATAAGAACTAAACTTTTATGCCAATGACTCCTGTGGTTAGTTGGTGTATTCCTAGGTATAAACCTGTAGCCATCTCTCTTCTTGAGTAACAAAGGCTTGCTTTTACACATCAAAAAGTATTTGGGCAGGCAAGTCTGAAATCACTTCTTCCTCTAAAAGGATAGTGGTTTGGTTAAAAGATTTCATTTTACTTAAGAACAAACGTTTGAAGTTGGATATGAACAAGAGCTGCATCTCTAGCTATTTAGTTTATCACTAATGCAGTATATTTAGTAAATTGAATGTGAAAAATAACAAACCCAGTGTGTAATCTTACCAGTATTTCTCTAGAAGGCGAGATACTTTGTTATGAAAATGGCTTTTGGCATTGTTTTTTTCTCTTTATCTTCAAAAGCCAGCATCAAACACCTGGTGTTCTTTGCCGTCTTATGTAGTAGCATCTGAAGGCATTGATTTCAAGAAGTTCCTTTTTAGAGAAATGTTTGGGGTTTAGTGTTTCCAGCAGGGCCTTTGAAGAAATGCAGATGGCTTTTATTAAATCTTGGCAGTGGAACGTGCTTTAGGGGGTTGATTCTAGAATCGTTGTACATTTGATAGTATTTCTAACTTTTTCTTTACTGTTTGCAGTTAATGTTCATGTTCTGCTATGCAATCATTTATATGCACGTTCCTTTAATTTTGTAGCCTTTCCTGGATGTATAGTTTAAAAACAGCAAAAAGTCTATTTAAATCTGTAGCAGTAGTGTGCAGCTCTAGCAGAGGAAAGTTGTGGGTTTAAACTTTGTATTTCCTTTCTTATAGAGGCTTCTAAAAAGGTATTTTTCTATGTTCTTTTTAACAAATATTGTGTACTACCTTTAAAACATCAATGTTTTGATCAAAATAACTAAAGACCCAGCTTATTTTCTGCTTGCTGTAAATTTAGCAAACATGCTGTAATAAAAAAATGAAGGAAATACTGATCCACTGGAATTATTGTAGCTTTAGAATTTGACTCCAGAGCATGGTTAGGATTAGCGCTATGCATCCCTTAGGGAGTAAAATCCTTACTATGGTATTTCAGTAGGGTCAGGAATTTATCATTTAACGCCTGAATAAGTATCGTTTCACATTCTTAAAGGGGTACGAGGCAAAACAAGAATTATAAGCCTATGTTTAGTCGAATATGTTGACATTTCTTTTCCATTAACTTTCATTATTGCTGTATTGACTTCCCGATGGTTAGAGTTCAGAAGGTACTAGCCAGGTTCTGAACTACTAAATATCAACAGCTGAAGATTCACCTTAGCGCTTTGTATTTGCCACATCAGCAGTGGCGCCAGCAGCGGTTCTGCAGGAGGTGGTAGAACTTGGCTGCTGCTGTTAAAAACGTGAGCTGCCTCCTGGCACTTGTGGTCTTTACTACTGGTTCTTCTTATGCCACTGAACAACTCTGAAAAGCACTTACCTGCTTTGGTAGCCCGGCTCTTCGGCTCTGGACGTTGAGCTGTCCATAAAAATGGCTCGTAACAGCAGAAAATCCCACCCTGCTCAGTTTTCTTAAATTAATAGGGTCTTGCAGACTAAAATCCTACGTAGAAGTGTTGCACCTGACTGTGCGTGGGGAGCGTGGTTGTGTTTTGGTCAGCAGCCTGCGAGGGATGGCTGGAACCCATCTTCGCCTTAGTCCCGCCAGGCGGCGGCTGGATGGGTGGGGAGGCGGGACGAGAACGGCTTTGTGCACAGGCTGAGGTTGGAATCTGGGGCTGCAGAGTAACCGTAACTGTACCGTAACTGTTTTGTCAGCATGTCCTTATGTTGTGTGCCTCGACATTGATGTGTAGCACAGTTTAAATTGTTTTGAAAATCCAGTTCATTGCAAGTATAATGCAGTATCTGACAGTTCTGATGGTTCTTTCTTTCTCTCCCAGAGGTAGGACTAAACTTTGACTTGACTTGTGTATATGAACAAGCCAGAAAAGCCGAACACAAACCCACGATGTTTCAAGAGTGCATGAATAAAGATGTTGTCCTAGTTCTTGCTCCCATGGAAAAATTGTGAAGAAGCTGTTCTGTGGGCCTTTCAGTTGGGGACGAGTTAGCAGGATGTGGCCAAAAGGGCAGGGAATGTTTCCGCATTCATGCAAGTCAAGCCACAGCCCACCTAGATAACATCTCCCTTCCTTGATGCAGGCGTCCCGGTCCTGCTCTAAGAAACCCAGTAGCCTGTCTCGTGCAAGCTACCTGCAGGTTATGCACAGCTGGAATGCAAGAACATACGCAGGCTACAAAAGATCGTGTGTAGGCATCTTTCTTTTGGAGTCTCAAGAACGGTGGGAATCATGGGTTTTTTTCTGTGGTAAAGTAGATTTTGTCATTCCTGCAAAATTTGTAGAATTGAAGTAGTATGTAAAAAAAAAAAACAAACAAAAACAAACCTCTGCTGAAAGTACTGGCTGTGCTCCCAAAGTATCTGCAGTGGCTTTTTGCTCTCCGCAGGAATAGAAGGCTCTATTGGAACTTCTTTTTCACCTCAAGTCCGTGCACCCAACTGATAATTAAAAATCTTAGTGGTCAAGTAGCTGGGTGTTTAAATTAGGGACTGTGCTAGACTGGTCTGGGAAAGCTCGATGTTATCCTTTCTATGTCTTTTAAAGATGTTTAAATGTACAGTATAATGGCTTTATTCAAAGTGGGAATTCTCAGTTTCGATGTTGCTTTGAGCTCTCTCCTTGGAAGAGCTTGTTTTCTCTTCCGTGCTGCTCAGCCCGGGCTAACCGCTTGTGCCAGAGGAGGGCAATTGGATTGATCCACGCTGCAGCACTGCTACGCAGTCTTTGGCAGGGATGATGCAGATCAACATTTTAAAGTACACGGGGATAAATTTACACATTTTTAGGACATAATCACCCATTGATAATTGCTGGTTTTCTCCATTTATCTTGTAACTTGCTTAAAAAGTCTGTAGTCCATTGCTATTTGTCTAAAGATGCTCTTACCAATGAGACTATTCTAGGAAGGGAAGACTGTGTACCCTGTAGCGTGTTTGATCAAAAGATGCTGATGTTTTATTCATACACATCCTTTCTTCTTGAGTTTTGTGTTCCATCTGTGCAAATAACCCTGTGACTTGGGAATAAAATGTACAAGTTTTGACTATAACTTGAGAGCACCTTCTGACTTGATTCATGTAGCCTGTTGGAGAGGATCCCCCCGGGCTCTGCCCGGAGCCCGTGCTGGGGGGTCGCAGGCCGCTCCAGCCATCACAGCGGTACCGGCTCAGCTTGAGCGGGGACAAGCTCTCTGGGTTTCCCGGCGGCCCCTCAGCAGCTTTGGGTTGGGATTGTGAGTAGTTAGTGTTCACGGTCGTGCTCAGCAGGCAAGGGCTGTGGTTCCAGAAACCTCCCTTGTTAAGGGATTCCCGGCTTGCTCTGACACTCAGAGCACAGGCCTGGGCTTCTCAGGCTGCCAGGTCTTACCAGAGAAAGGTAATGGGGGAGTTGGGTGCCAGTTAGGGATACGAAAGGGGGCATTTACTCCACGGATGTGACGCATCAGAGCTTTGCAGACCCCCCTGGGCTGCTGTCATCCCACTTTCCCATTTACCATCATAAAATACAGAGAGGTTCTTAGGGGGTGAAGAGTTTATTTAAGTTTTGTTGTTCCCAATTCGTACACACGCCACCAGCGACTGACAATTTGAAGTGAACACAATTGTGACTGGGATACGGCTCATTCGCTGGTGCCTGTCCAGGTCCCAGCGATGCCATTTTCAAGTCTGCCAATTCCATCTTATTTGGAACAATAAATTTGTAAACATTCATCCAGCTGCCACAGCGTTTTGGTACAAAAAGACATTCCAATGTTTCACAACCCGCTGCTCCCCAGAATGAAAGCCCTTTGTCAGCAATCCCAATTTTGAGACAACCCTGGGTGCAGTTACCGAGGTCAGCTGCTTGCCACAGGCTGGCAACGGCCCTGCCCCATTCTGAAGTTGCATTTCCAGTAGATACGGGACAAAGATGCATCTTAGAAACAGAAAAACGGTGCTTCCGTCGGCCATTCACACTCCCTGTGAAACACCGGAGTGGGTTCTGAACACCCTCCTGTTCTTCATCACGTCATCCAGAACACGAGCATCTTCAACTTTAACAGCCTTTTTTTTTTGTTATTATTTTTAATTTATTTTCTTTAAAAAAAATCTAAATAAGCCTCTTTTGCACTGATTTTACTTCAAAAATGAGCTCATGACTAAGTAAAATGTGCATATTCACTGTTAAGTGCAAGGGCACAGCCACAAATTTTTTTTTTTTTTAACAAAATATCTTTTTTTTTTTTTTTTTTACATCAGGCCATGTACTCAACATGGTCCACTTACATTCAGCAGTTTTGTACTAAAAATATTTCTGTGCAGGAAAGCCCAGCATCAATTTACATATGCTACAGATTACACTTATTTACATGGCTCTGTCCTCCCTCCGACTGCGCTAACGCCCATCACAAGTGACTGTGGCTGGGCTGCTGCAGGGTAACCAGCTCCAGGCCAGCCCAAGGAGCTACACCCCCGGCATCATTAAAAGCCGATCCGAGCGTGGAGTGTGGAACTCAGTGCGGTGGGACGCCAAGGGTTGAGGCGTTTGGCAGCTGTCTGGTGGGGCAGTGCCGGCAGCTGGCACGGCCTGACGGGCCGAGACCACGCACCAAGCCCATCCCATGTCTCGGTTTCAGCCCCAGGCCTGGAACATTCGCCTGCCAGTCCAGGGGCAAACTAAGCTCACAGCTACGGCCTGCTGTGGCCAGTGCCTGGGCTGCTGGCTGCTTGGCACCTCCGCTCCGCGCCGGTCGCGTCTGGCTAGCAAAGCTTGAACAGGTCTGCAGAGCAGCAGGGACCTGACTGCAGCTTTCAGTGCCTTTTCTTCCCAGCTGATGCTGCACTCAGAGGCTGGTGTTCTAACACCGCAGAGTCACAATTCCACAGTCCCATTTACTCTCACAATAAATAACTGTAAATGGCGACCGTTCAGGGGTTGATTAGGTTGATTATGGAGAAAATACCTATTTCACAGTGAACACAGCACACACTTTTGAGGTAAAATGTTAGGGGAATGTCAACTTCCGCCCCCTTCTCTTCCCAGCGACTATGTGCAGCAAGAACATCTAGTTCTGTGCACCTGGAGTCGGGAATAACAATTCTCTGCTTCGAAACCCTGTAAATTTAAATAACTAAGAAATATAAAAGTTACACCTCAAGCCTGGACTTTAAGTAACGTTTTAAGCTGAAACGCCATCATTTCTTTATCAGAAGGTTGAAAAGACACAGGTACCCAGTGGCTTGGTGGCTTAGGAAGAACACTGGGTGAGGGCGGCTCGCTGAATTTTGCTCCAGCATAGTTCTGAGCGCTCTGCGGGGCGAAGAACAGGCTGCGATTTGACAGAGCTGGGCTCCACTTCTGGTCGCTGGGGAAGCGGACGTTGCTCTTTCCCCCTTTCTGCATGGCCTGCCAGGCGCCAGTGGGCGAGCTGCCTCCGCGCGCCCTCTCCTTCTTCATGCAGCTCTTCATCTGCGCGTTCTGGTCTTTGCTCTTCTGCCTGGTTTTAAGTTGTTGATGGTTCTGGGTGGTATTTCTAGACTGGGGAACCGGAATGTTGAATCTTTCTCCACCGCCCATCTTCAACTTAAATGTCACCTGTAAAAACGGGGAAAAGTCAGCAGAGTACAGCTATCAATCCAGCCAGGACTGGTACTGACCGAGAGCAGTGGGGTTTTCTCCTTTCCTGGACAGCAGCAATACCCAGGAACTTGCCGACACCCTCCAGAGAACTGAATTACAGTGCACGGGATCCCCCCGACCTGCTGCTGGCTGACCATATGTCGCACGTCGCCAGCGGGTCACACGCCAACCCACCCTTCGGGAACCGTACCCATCTCCTCATCAGCAGTCCCCGCTTTGCCTGCCTAGCTGCGAGACACCGGCCCTCTGGGCAGTCCCACCGCTGGACACGCCGCTTCCTTCCTCCTCAGCCAAAGGAAAGATGGGAACGACGCGTTGCTCAAAACGCAGTGCCACATCTAAGGCGCTGGTGTTTAATCCTGAAGACGCCGAGGCCAAGCTCGTTACACCTAACGATCTGGGCACAGTCTGCCCTGCTGACGTCACTCCCCAGGCTTTCTAAGTCCAAGAATTACTCTGATAAACCCAAAGTGAACCGAAACCAAGATCAGAGGGACAGCAGCCATCTACAGCTGAACCTCCCCACAGCCAGACACTATCACACACTCCCCTGACTCCCCTCCAGTATCCCAGTCCTCTCCCACCCCCACTTACCTTTCAGTCGTCTTCTCAGATCCCACACCCTCCAATTCTTGCCCCCTTTCTTGCTTCCAAGCCTGAAAGAGTAGGTGCTGCCTCTCGCTGGACTCCTTCCTTTGGCTGGGAACAGGCCTTTTCATGGGCTGATCTGCCGTGTTCAGCCAGGCAGCCGAGCCCAACATCGGATTCTCGGCACGGAAGCTCCAAAAGAGAAGTCCCGCTGCGTAAATGAGAATGAAGGCTGAACTGGGTTAAGGAAACAACTGTTTCTCTTTCAAATCTGAAAGAAAACCCAACTACAAAAACGAAACAAAAAGAAGAAAACCTAGAAATAATTCAAAGAGCTCATTAAGTCAGTTGTGTCTTTTTTGTTAACGGTGACGATATAAAGCCATAAAAACTGACACGGCAGCGTTTATCTTACTCAAGTTCACCGTCACACTTGGCATCTCACAGAGAACTGCTCTCCCTCTGTATCTAAAGCAGCATTTTAATAGGTAAGCAAGAACTTTACCCTTTTAATAAGGGGAAAAAAGGTGACATACAATGGAAAATGCTTTGGGATGAACTCCTGGGGAGCCGGCCGTCAGGGCATCGCTCAGAGCACAAAGAGACCCCCCTGAAAACTGCCCCCGACGAGG